TCCTCTTCTCCCCTTCTCATTCTCCTAGCTCCCTCCCCCCTCTTCCTGTCCTCCCAATTTGGTCAGGAGATTGCCTTTCCCCTTCTCCAGGGCACCATGTATGTCTCTCTTAGGGTCTTCCTTGTTTACTAGTTTCTCTGGCAGTGTGGATTGTAGGCTGGTAATCCTTTATTTTATATCTAAAATCCACATATGAGTTTGTACATACCATGTTTGTCTTTTTGTCATTGGGTTACCTCGCTCGGAATGCTTTCTTCTAGTTCCATCCATTTGCCTGAGAAATTCAAGATTCCATTGCTGTTTTCTGCTGAGTAGTACTCCATTTTCTCTATGCATTCTTCAGATGAGGGGCATGTAGGATGTTTCCAGGTTCTGGCTATTACAAATAATGCTGCTATGAAAATCGTTGTACAGATGTCCTTGTATGAATTTGCTTTTTCTTTTGGATATATGCCTAATAATGGATTTTGTGATTCCTTTTGGCTATTTTGGAAAAGAATTTGATTTTCTAAGGCATTTTGGCAAAGGAGTCTTTCTATTTCTCTCTTATGAGATGCTTTGAGGGGCTCAATGCGTGCAGCTATGTCCTCATTGACCCTTTCCTTGGTGTTTTCAAATCTCTGTATTGATGTTTCTGATTCCATCCTCAGGTTATTTCTTTCCAAAATCAATCAGTCTACCTTATTTCTCAATTCATTTTTCTCATAAAATCTCTGAACCATGGGAATCAGTAAAGGCATGTTGGTGTTACATTTTAGCATGTAGATTTCCAGGAAAATAATTTGCATTTACTCTATGTGGGTGCAAACTTCTTTCTTCACCATTTTGGCAGAAGTTTCCTCTCTGATCCTGAGTCTCTACCTAGGCATTATCATTCTTTTCTCCTTCTGGAGCCTCTCCACAGTTTTCAATAGGTCTTATATCATTCTCATTTTTTAGGCCATTTCTTAGTTGAGTCTTGCCAGCTTTCCTCTAGCATGTGCATGCTTGCCTGGATTTGTATAGACT